TGGGAGCGAGGAGTAGAGACTTTATATGGAACAGTAATCTAATAAGCAATAGAAATCTGCTTCTTCTGCACTTTTTGGGTCTGTTCGACGGCATCGATGGTAACCAGAGATCGTGGGAGAGAAGAGCTGCGAAGCTTCGGTTCAGACGAAACCGGAAGCCCGGTAGGAGGAGACGTTTTAGACTCGTGGTTGCCTAAATTTCACCAAAAACTGTTGGCCAGTGAAAGGAGACCAGCGGAATCCGCCGATATCGAACGGTAGAAAATCGAGCTGACATTGGGTATGCTATTAATTCCGATTCTCCGATTTCCTGGAGCGCCAGGAATCCTCTTGCAGCGCTACAGGAGTCGAGGAACCAGTCTCCTAGGAAAGGTGTACGCTCGTTATAACCTGACCCAGCGATCTCGGGTAGGAAGCCCTGCCTGGCCCTGCCTGGCCCGAAAAATCTAGGTCATTGGCCTGACTGGCTACGGTAGACCTCGATGGGATTCGTGGTGCCATGATCCCTTTCCTCCATCGTGGTTTAGCCTCTAACTCCTTTTCTACCTCAGCCACCCATTTCTCCCGATTTCGACCAAGTTACGGTTACACCTCTTATTATCCGATTCTAGATGAGTTGGAGGATAAATAGCGTGGTCTATGGAGGAAATCGTAAGGTATTCAGACGTAGCTACTATCCAGGCTTGTGGTTTTAACGGATCTCGGTAGTCAGAGGAAAATAAGAAGATCGGCCCGTCTCGTTTCTTCCTTCGTCCACGCGGCTCGTTCCACCACGGCTCTCCCTATCTGCCTGCGAAGACAACGTCACGAGAAACCGTGTAACCTTTGGGACCGTAACCCCGTTATATTATTACATTTAACAATGGCCTCTATGCTCTTTGTCCCGGCCGAATGCACCGTTCCTGTAACCTGTCGCGGAAGCTGTCCACGGTCCTTTTCCTCGCAACCTTTGCCCGATCTCCGCGCGTAATTTGACACGCGTCGCCAGCTCCGAACCGATGCTCGGCCCTGTTTCGCGATACGTATGTACGCGGTAATTGAATAACTTACCGGTGATCCAGTGCGCACGACACGGATACGAGTTTCGTCGCGGCCCGGGAGAAAATGGGGATCTATGATGCATCGCGCGCGGTGTCGGGTGGTGTACGAGCCAGTATTGAGACACCCGGGGAATTCCCTATTGATGAAACTCGTTTTACCGATGCCGAGGGAATTAAATTATACAAGACCACGTAATAATAATACAGCAACCGGAGAAAAACTTTCTACTTATTATTTAATTGGGGAAACGGAACGGGGAGAAAACGATAATAAATTGCGAGGAAAAGACAGGTTAATCTTAAGCAAAGGAGATATAAATTATTTGTTATGAAGTAAGCGTATGTATTCCTCTTTTTACAGATACGTGTACAAGCACGCGATGCCAGGAAACGGGATGGAGATATTTGCAGAAAAGTACCGTGGACATTTTAGTTTTCGTTATTTTAGATCCGATATCGGTGAAACATGCCTTTCTTCGATCCAAGGTTAAACGTGGGAATAAGATTCAGCATGGAAGTAAGATAACGAGACGAGATTCTTGTTCTGAAATTAAATGAAATTAAATTTAGAGGTTAATAACATTGACGAATTTAGTGCAAGGCGGGAAATTCGAAATTCGACAAGCGTCGAATTAATACCCGAAAAGTTAATCGTATATATAGAATCGAGCACAGAAATAAGTTAAGGAGACCCGAATTTTTATTCTAGAATTAGTGAAATGTTTCAAAATGAAACGAAATTAAATCAAAAATTTAATAACATTGACGAATTCAATGCAAGGCGGGAAATTCAAAATTATTTTCGTCTAATACGACAAGCATCGAATTAATACACGAAAAATTAATCGTATATATAGAATCGAGCACAGAATTAAGTTAAGGAGACACGAATTTCTATTTTAGAATTAGAGAAATTTTCTAAAATGAAACGAAATTAAATCAAAAATTTAATATCATTGACGAATTTAATGCAAGGCGGGAAATTCAAAATTATTTTCGTCTGATACGACAAGCATCGAATTAATGCACGAAAAATTAATCGTATATATAGAATCAAGCAGAGAAATATGTTAAGGAGACCCGAATTTTTATTCTAGAATTAGTGAAATGTTTCAAAATGAAACGAAATTAAATCAAAAATTTAATAAGATCGACGAATTTACTGCAAGGCGGGACATTCGAAATTATTTTCGCCTAACTCGAATTAATAACCGAAAAATTAATCGTATATATACAGAATCGAGCACGGAAATAAGTTAAGGAGACACGAATTTCTATTTTAGAATTAGAGAAATTTTCTGAAATAAAACGAAATTAAATAAAAAATTTAATAAGATCGACGAATTTACTGCAAGGCGGGACATTCGAAATTATTTTCGCCTAACTCGAATTAATAACCGAAAAATTAATCGTATATATACGGAATCGAGAACGGAAATAAGTTAAGGAGACACGAATCTCGATTCTAGAATTACAGAAATTTTCCAAAATGAAGCGAAATTTAATGAAAAATTTAGTAACGTCGATGTATCCGATATGTCATTACGCAGCGAGAAATCGGAAATGATTTCCGTCTAACGCGGCATGTGCCGAATTAATATCCAATTGATATCGGTGGCGACATCTATCGCATATCGGAAGAATCTATTTTCGAGGAATCGAAACGCGCAACGCAATGATCGTGCGAAGTAAACGCAGAATCCGGACGTGGGCCTCTTCGAGCCGGTGCCACACTTAAAGTGAAATAAAAGTAAGAAAACGAGCACGTACACGTGAGAGGAGATCCGGATACGCGGAACACGCAACGAGGAGCCGAGGTCTCTGTGTGGTTCCTGATTGGCTAGTCCCATAAATACACGGAGGGTACATTTCGTCGTCAAGTATTACAGCCTGATTATTTCGGACGAAAACTTGCCAACTTTCACCTTGCGAATGTCGATACGTTCCGCTTCGATTAAGCTTCCACGAAAATGGCAAACTTCATTACTAAAGATGGTCATTTCGCGTGGTCTACGCTTATACGGTAAATAAAGTGCAGCACGTTAATGCTACTAATTCGAAAAGTACGAACACATCGAGCGAAATACATATTTCTATTCGTTCCACGCCTTCTTTTATCCTCAATTTCTTTTCTATTTCTTCTTTCTTTTTTCACGATTCCCCGCAGAATGAAACCACGTTAACGTTCCGAAGGATAACCTATAATTTCGACCCACATTTCGTGCGTGTCACAGGACGAAAAAATTTGACGGAAATGGAACTGGAATCGTGAATGGTGATAACGAATTGGCAACTTAGTATTACGGTAACAATCATTTAATCGAACATGAGTTTTATAAATAATCCACATCTTCTGACTTTATACAAATTACAATTCCGCAGCCACCGATCATTGCAACACGGGACACAGTGTCAACGAGAATTCGTGGATCGAGTAAGGAAGGACGATCGAATAAATTAATATCAAGGTCTCGATCAGCGTGTCGGAAACTAACGAGTATTTCTCTGAATACTGTCTCTGTATTTTTTTTTTTTTTTTTTTTTTTTTTTTTTCTCGGAAAATCTGCATCACCCTCCGTCGGTCGATCCATCGAAGGCTCGTGGTTCGTCCTTAACGACGATTCGAAACAACGATAAACTAAGTACGCATAATTCTTTCCTCCAAGGATTAAAAATTTTCTTACGAAAAATAAAAAAAAAAAAAAAAAATTTTTTTTGGAGAGAACGAGAAAACAAGAAAACCCGTAAACAAGCCTCGACAGATACGATCGCCGAGTACAAAGAAGAGCGCAACGTCGTATCTTCGAATGGCCTCGAAGAGGATGTTCTTAAACAATCCTGAAACTGTCGTCGTACATGTTACATACGGTGCGTCAAGATCAAAAGCTAAAGGAGGCTTACAGAGCAAAGGGGACAGGTGACGAAATGGGAACGATGAGAAACTTAAATAAAAAGCGACAGAGGACGATTGACTATCTTACAAAGATAAACCGACAGGAAGAAAGGAAAGAAGAAAGAGAAAGAGATTGAATAGGAGATAGAGAGAGAGAGAGAGAGAGAGAGAGGGGGGGATGAAAATAAATAACGAAGAAACAGAGAGGACTGCGGACAATGAGACTGTGAAAGTATATAATATAAAAGCGATATAAATAAGAGAACAAGCGATAGAATCCACTTAAAAAAAGAAAAAAAAAAATAAAAATAAAACGTATTTGGAAGAGCTTAGGTACATCCGTAGCGAGGCCATATGCCTGGCCGCGCCTTGCATAGCATTCGTCACTTCCTTTTACGTCTATTATATGTTACACCTAACTATGTATATGTGTACATATATATGTATATATACTCTCTGTTCAATATGTTTTATACGAGATTTTTAACGTTCGCTTCTTTCTACGTATATATACGCACGTACCCGCGTACGTGTGCTCTGTTATCGATACGTATATGTACACACCGTGCGACAGTGGCTTGCACTCACTTTACGTCGTCAATATAACACAGCACGAGAGATCATCTCACTTCGCCTTGATCGTTTCGTATATCATCGATGGCCCCGCGGAAGAACCGTTGGTCGAGTCCCGATGGAAGGCTTCATACCCATCTACGAGATTCTCGATCCTCTTCGATATTACACCTGGGACTATGCATCGCCAACAATCCGTCTTCGACACCGAGCGCCATTTTGGTCGGTTCCTCTTCGTTTAGCCTGAACCCGCTCGCTCACCGATAGGAATAATTTCAACGTTTATATCCCCTGTTTGTGACACGTCCGTTCCCCGTTCATTATCCACGAACGAATCGTCCTCGAAACGTTCGATCACGACGATCGATTCATCAGCGTTTCTCCCCGATCGGAGGTGCTGCCACCGATCGACGCTACTTCGCCATAGGTACTTACGGTAATTTAGGTATACTCGAAACGTTCTCCCGTGAACGGAGAGAAACTGCTCCGTGAATCTAATCCCTACCGATCCTCTTATGAATCTGTTGGTGTTTGATGAGATGCGCCTTCTGTCTGAAGGCTTTGCCGCACACTTCGCACCTGAACGGCTTTTCACCCGTGTGAGTTCTCAGATGCACCTTGATGTTACTCTTGTTCAAAAATCCTCTGTTGCAGATGGAACACCTGTGCACGGGCTTCTCCTTGCCACCTATCAGGCCGGACTCGGTCCCATAGGGTAACGCCGTCGCCCCTGTACCCGGACTCTTCTTCGACGGATTCTGCGAGCCTGGGGTAGGCCGTGACCTCTTCCTGGGATGCGAGGGTGCGGCGAAAGACGAGTGCAGCAGATGATCAGGGCTGCACGAGGTCGAAACCCTGCCAGGTGGGCTGACAGGTGGATAAGGACTCGTCGACGACGGTGTCTCTCCGCAGGACGCATTCTGCAAGCCAGCGTTCGCGGATTGTAACCTGGCGTTGATCAGAGGCGCGTACCCGTGCGTCAACAGACTCTGCAACGTCGAGCCGTGCTGTTGCGCCTGTGTCGAGGGCGTCGCTGTCGCGTATATCTGCGGGTACGGACTGGGCGACGTGGTCTCTTGAGCTTTCGGCGAGCACGCGGTGTCGATCCATTCGGCGATGTCGATCCAGTCGCGAGACGCGTCCGGATCGTGTTCCGAGCCTGCTCCATTACCACCGCCAGGAACTGTCGTGTCGGCTATCGCGGAACCAATGATCTCCGCTATATCCTCGATGTCGTAATCCACCTGTTGCGTCGACTGAGGCAGCTGCTGCTGTTGATGATGATGATGCTGTTGCTGCTGCTGCTGTTGCTGCTGCTGCTGATGCTGATGGTGCTGTTGCTGCTGCTGCTGCTGTTGCTGCTGTTTCTGGCTACCCTGCGGGCACGGTGTGCTGGAGGATACCACCGGTGACTCGTAGTACTCCTGATTCGAGGAAGACGTGGGCGAAGAGGACGGTAACGACGGCCTCTGCGCCGACGAGGCTATTGTGTGATAGTGATGACCAGGTATACCGTTAATACTCAAATGTCCGGTGTATCCCGTGAAGGGTGGAAGGGGTTTCAACTCTGCCAACGATTGCGCAGAGGCAACACCGACCGACGAACCGAGGAGAAGAGTATCCCATGCATCCTGCAGACCAGCTGCCGTTTGCTTCACGTCGGGAGGCTCGAGAAAATCCGGCCCAGTCGCTCCCCATGGGGACAGCAGTAGACTGTCCACGCCGACGACCTCCGCTGGAGAACCGCCGACGACGATGCCCGTTCCTTGACTACTGTGAGGCGGTTCGACCCCGGACGAGGTTAGATGCGGTGGCGCTGTCGGCGGACCGGACTGCGTTTCGTACTTCATCTCGATCACTATGTCCGAGGTTGGCGACACGCCGCCCGGACAGGGTGGCACGATCACGTCTTTCACCAAGGAACTCGTTTGGCTTTTGCCGGAGCAAGCGCTCTGTTTCGACAGACACCTGGGATTCCCGGCTGATATGATGTCGTACGGCGACGTGGCGGTTAATTCCTCTTCTTCGCCCGGGTCCAGAACGTCTTGAGACGATTGGCTGAGGGGATATTCTACTTTGATGCCGCGCACAGCGGTTTGCTCCTCCTGTTGCTGATCCTGGCCCGGCTGCTGCGTATCCGCAGACGGATACTCTAGCTTGATGCACGACCTGGAGAGAATGTCCTCGTCGTTGTCGTTCCTGCAGGAAGCGGCCGAGATGCGGGAAGTGGAGAGCAGAGAACTGAGCAGGGAGGCGTTGAAGGTGGACGTCGAGGACGAAGACAGCGACGGTGACGCTGATGAAAGTGTCGCGTTTGTCGCTCTTCGTTCCTCCGTACGTATTTTCGGATATTCCTCCGTCTTGATCCGAACGTTTAGAGACGATAGGATTCCGTTTAAGGAATCGGCCGACGAGATATTGCTGGTCCCGGCGTTCCGCGCGTTCGCGGTGCTGAGGGACGTCGTGGTCGTGGATTGTAACGCGTTGCTGTGACCCGTGGTAGTCGCTGGGCCACCAGCTCGCGATGCCTGGTTATGGGTTTCCGTGAAGGACGTGGTGGTCAAGAGCGCGGAAAGGATGAGGTTGCTGGCCGCTGAGGGTTCCGGTGACGACGAGGCGATGCCGTACACGCTAGCATGCGAACCTACGGCATCGACACCTCGCGCTACCGTATCCACGTGACCGAGGCTCGACGACGAGCACGAAGAGGACGAGGTCGGGGCGATACTGTAGCTGGTACAAACGTTCCTGCCAGCGTTTGACTGATTCGGCTGATGTTGCGACTGGTGCCGTTGATTCGAATGATGCTGCTGCTGTTGAGACTGTTGCGATGGACTATTCGCGTTACGATTCGGTGGACTACAGAACTGAAAACCACCACTACCGTTATCCGGTGCCCCCTCGTCGATCCTTGGGGGCCCAGGGGTCGAGGGGAAGAGGGAACCAGGATTCCACCAGGGATCCACTCTACTGCCGGGGGTGCTGCAACCGCCAACGGCGCCGCGGGGACCTGTAACATGAATTTCGATTTTGGAAAGGATTGGCCCATTCAAGCGCGATTCGTTGTTTCTCGACGTTGTTGTAATCGACTGTGTGTTACGCGTCAGACGAGGCTCGATGAGAATTCGCCTCAAGTGACTACCGAGCCGTTCTATTTCGTCTAGTCGAGGTAATTTTTCTACAAACGTATTTTTCTTTCGCAATTTTGAATTAACATTACGTCGTGGTCCCATTCGAAGAAATGTTCGGATTTTAGTAATCCTCACCGTTCTCGAATCGGCTCTGTTTCTAGCTAGCGACGATGGAAGGGACGATTCCAAATTCCACGAAGAGATCTCTGTATCCTCGCGGGTGATACCAGCAGTGATTATACGGTAGGTAAATAGATAGGTTGGCGAGTTAAGTACTCGGTGTTACACATTAACGAATTAGAGTCTGTTATTTCTGCTCGCGTGTGTATTCGCATAATAAACAATACTTTACTATACAGCATGCATATCCACAGGTAAAGGTACACAATACGGGTGCGTATAAATACACATGTATACCAAGTAAGTATCGTGAAGTTAAGTAGGCAGATACCACTTCTCTCGAGAAGAAAGACTTGCTCCTGTTAACTAGGTTAGTGGCACGCTAGCCAGCCACGGCTGGGTACACTCGACCAACCAAATTGCCGCGTTTAAAAATACATTTTCGTCTTGCGAATAACCAGCTACCATACTATCGACGAGCGAAGAATAGAGGAGAAAAAACGAAGACAAGAAACGTTCATTCAGCAAAATACAAGATGGCAGAGAACGCGACAAACTCGAGGGAAGACCAGCTATCATCGGGCAATCGAGAATGGAATGATCCATTTTCAAATCGATCCTCGGCATACACCCTCACCTTGACCTTCCGCCAGTGAAGCACCCGAAAGTTAAACAAGACCCAATGAGAGAGACGAAAAGACAAAAAGAGGTTACTGTCAGAATGACGTGCAAATCTCTCGGAGATGGCAAGCGTATGAAAAGGTAGGTTTATCTGCATTTTATCAGAAGAGTCCGTATGCTGCCAGGAAAAACGCGAATCGGGTCTTTCTTTCTCTCTTTCTCTCCTCCCGTTCCGATTGACACATCCGCGTGGCCGTAGGAGCACGTCATGGGAATCATGCAAATGGTCGGCACATACGTATAGTCCGGCTGCCCACCACGAGGTCCCTTCTTTTCCCTCCTCCTGCCATCCTTTCTGCCCCACCGAACTCCCTCGAACACGCCGTGTCCGTCCTTGTCGTCGGTTAAAGCCCGTCCTTGTCGATTGCCAGCGGATGGTAGACGCGCGTTGGAGGTCCCCACTTCTGGCATCAGCGGCGGGGCCAGGGGGTCCCGGCGAGCCGTGACGTGTTCACCGGGTACCGTTATCCAATGGCGTGGACTCGCGAGCGGGCCCGAAGACCGCTCGTGGATCGATCACGGGAAACCAGCTCGCGCCTCGGTCCCACTTTTTCGGGCCTACGACAATGTCTCGGTGAGCCACTTATCAATGGGATCACCGGGTATCCGCGCGACGCGACCAATTCGGCTTTATCGATTTACGCGGACCCATCCAGTTTTACGACCTGCCCGGCTATACGTTCACCACGAGTGCGTTATATCGTACGTCGCGTTTCCAACTGCTATCCGTTCGTCACTGACGGGGTCCCGGTAGCCGCATACTGGTCCCGAACGGCATTCATTCGCGATGGTCCTACTACTTGTCCCGCGCTGTGGTCGAGCGAAATTCATCGAAGATGGCGGATAGGTGTATCCTCAAGGACGTCGTCGGGAATTTAAAGCCACGGCGCGACGATGCGATCGGGCCCGATGCAAATAGCCACGTATCGGAATTACATGCCCGTCCGTGGACGCACGTGTGCCGTTGGGCGCGCGAGCGAAAAAGAGCTGCATCGTTGTTGGTCCGTGAGCACTTGTGCCCGTGACTATACGCCGAAACTATACCGCGCTCGCGTTCGCGCTCACGTATAGTGGGGGCCCGAAGTAGGCCGGAGCACCGTTACAGCCCGCTGCACGGTCGAAGCCTACGCAAATCGGCTAGATTTTGTCCAGATGGCTTTCCTTTTCGTTGTGAAAAATGGCGCGTGCGAGCCGTGGTTTCCGTGCTGACCCACTTATGCCCGCCGATGCGCCAGCGTTAGAACGCGCCGCGTCTCTTCACGGACCATCCGTCAGTTTCCTCTTGATCTCGCTTCTCTCCTCCATTCGTCGCGAAAATATCCACTGGTCCCATAGAAAACGATCCTTCTTGTCTGTGGTCTGGCTCGTTCGTTCGACGTTCGAGCTCGGCGAGCAACGAGACCGAGACCGGAGGAACCCTTAGCGTGCGTCGGCCATTACGGTGAACACTGGTGTAGGATCGACGCGTTATCGAGGGGCTGATGCGTGGCGCTATAGTCGCGTGGGCGTTTCGATTAAGATGGCCGGGGGTAGAGGAATTTCTACGCTCGGAATTCGAATTTCTCGATGCTCCGACGAGAGGAGTTGGTCACGTGACGGGAGCGCACTTGTTCGCGCTACTATACGCGGCTAAACTATATCCGAGCGCGTGTATAGTGGGGAACGGAAGTAGGTCGAAGCACCGTTACGCGTTGCGCTCGACGGAGAGGAGGCCTACGCAAAACCAGTCGGATTTTGCTAGGCGCGTGAGCCATGGCTTTCCTTTTCGTTGCGAAAAATGGTGCGTGCGAATCGCGGTTCCCCACGGTGACCCACATACGGGAAACGAGTCACACTCGTGCCCCGCTCGTCGCATGGCACCGTGTCGGACGCTGGACGCCGGCACGCCGGCCTCTCGTAACATGTAAAACCAGAAACGAGTAAACGTGAAATTCACTTCCATGTTTCCGCGTCCGACGTGAATGAGCAATTGCCACCGTCTTTTTTCCCCACTTTTTTCCACCCGACGAATTTACGAGCCAGGCCTCGTTGTTCTTTCGCTTTTCAACGTAGTAATCCTCGTGGCCAATCGCGGGACCATATGACATCCGCGAGTAAAAGTTACCACCCTGCTTAAACCTTCTCTTCGTCTCACGCCCGATCTTCCATGGAGGACATGTCTCTGATTTACAGCGATTTTCAGGAACTGACGAAGAACTCGAGGCGTCCTGGAAATTTTGGAGATTCGTACAGGTCCTGTGGACCTTTTCCCAAGACGTGGGATGTCTAAGGAGTTAGAGACTGAATATTCGGACTCCATCAGCGAGGAATGCAGGACGACGACAGCTACGCGCCGATCTGTCTCGTCGACTTTCGCATTAATACGCTCCAAAGGTAGATACGTCAAATGAGGGTATTATCTGTTATCTATCCTAGCGGTATATACAAACACGGTTATATTTAGAACCTTCATTAGCACCGGGAGTGATTAGCGCGAGCTATGTGGGTTTCAGAAGCACGTCGAAGCAAACGCCCCTGGTGTCACTGGATCAGGTTGCCGATGAATCTCTTACTTTCGTTTACGTCGGATGGTGTGACCGGTGGGTCAACGATATTTCCCGAATGCCGAATCTCGCCAAAGGAACGGAGACTCGCCTGCGCGAGCAAGGAAATTGGAGACTTGAACGCCGGCAAAAGCGTAACGCCCGTGGTGCTTCGCATTCTTCGCGCAAATACTTTATCTTTGAGTCATGGATCTCGTAACGTCTCGTTAGTATTCCGTTAAATGCGATTCTGCAATTGTACGTGAGCCACCCAATGATTTTCAACTACCCGGGAACAACAGTGTAAATATTAATTCTCCGCGTCTAATTACGTAGAATGGAAAAGAAAAGGAAAAGAGGAGAAAAGAACGAGGCAGATGCAACGATCGAGAATAAACGATCCACGTACGCGTTAAGGAGCCCGACTAGAGAGACATCTAGCTGAAAGATTGGAAGATGATATCGGAGTTAGTTGGCATTAGGAGGGAAGGAAGTAGAGAATTGCAGCGACGATCGACTGGCAGAGAAATTCGTTCGATACGATCGTTGCTCCGGTATTTGCCTCAATGTCGACATCAAAATGCGTCGTAGCTCATAGGCGCGCACGGACGTAGAGGGACCTGGCACGGTGCTGGGAACGGAGAAAGTGCGGCAACCATTAAGGTAAAGGTTAAAGAAGACGAGGGTAAGAGAGACGGTTGCGGCGTTCGGGAAAGGGATGAAAACGTGCATGGAAGCTCCATCCGGTGGTAGAGTAGCCCTGTGACGATAGCCCTGATGGTAGCCCTGTTGGTAGCGCGACTTTCGGCGTCGGGATCATCTGGATGGCCGCGCATGCGCGGAGCGCTTCTCGGAACGAGGAAAAACAGGTTATCCGCGGCGTAAGTTTCCCTATAAACGAAGCCACGTCGATTCTTTGGCTGCAGTCGCCCGGACAATCGAACAGGCCCGGCAAAGTACCGGTACTCGAACATCCGAGCGAACAAAGCAGTTATGTTTCGACGATCAGAAGCGAGGCGAGCATGGACGCGACCGTGGACGGAGCTGCGAGTATCTATAGACGCTTGCGGAACTGACGAGTCGGAAGCCCCCCCTACTCTGCTGGAATACCGGTTAATGTGGTACACTGACCTACTCTGCAGCCACGGCGGTACACTGGCAATACCCCACCACTCTGTTATTCTCTCTTCCTTCTCGCTCCTCGTTCCTCTCTCCTTCCTCATCTCTCAGGCATTCCCTTTCTGCGCCTCCGTAATTCCCTCTCTTTCCTATCGTCCAACGGCTCGCGGACCCAACTCGGGCTCTTTCTCTCCCGCGAATAAACTTGCCCGTGTTCTGGTCCTTCGTAAAAACAGCCTCTGACGTCTTTCCTGGTGCTTACTCTTTCACGCGCTTCCTCTTTCTTCGTCCTCGATTCCTCTTCCCGGAAGATTCGACGCGCAGCATTGAAAGTTTCCAGGCTCTGCCGGGATCAATCGCGTGGACCACTCGTTTTTCCACCGACCCAGGTAGCAGTCAAATAGGTCGTCGTTTTCCTCGCGCGTGTCACAAGTTGTCAAAGATGGTAGAAAGAGGAGAAGCTTGCTTCCGGTTGACGGTTCCAACGGACCCTGAGATCGGATCTGTCCTATTTTCTCTGCCAGACCTGGTCCTCTCCCGGTCCTCTTCGAGGACCACGAATCTGTGGGCACGAGATGGACGGCAGAGGTCGGATTTTGGCCGGGAAACGAGCATAGCGCGAGAAATCGGCGTGCTGACACTGACACTGGCTCTCGAGCC